CTCTGTTTAAAGATATGTTTAGGCCGTTTTGCCAGAGGTTTATGGACTACGTAGAAGAATCCGTTTAAAGCAGCTGCAGACAAGATCGGAGAGAGATAAACAACTATTAAAGAGCATTAACAACATTTCTAAAAGTATTGTTGACTGTACAAAACGAACCCGCTGCCATGTCTAAATGAATGAGTTCCAAGGAAACAAAACCCCGGGGCAAAAATGCTAATAATAATGCTTGTAACGATGATTGCTAGACGGAAAGTTCCAACAGGGGATTATTAGCTGCTCTTAATGGTGATTGGGTGGCAGCAACAAGGCGCATTTGCCACATGCCTGGTGGTTTGCCAAACAGGAGCTGGAGAAGCTAACGAGGCAGCTGGGAATCGGTAAATAGTTGGCCATCAATTCGCTGGCAACACTTGGTCGCTTAAAGCCGGCAACTCGATTCATGAGCATCGGCAAAATACTTGTGCCACTGTTAATTGGGTTTGCAGCATCGTGCTTAATATGGCGCGGCATCAATTTATTTACGTGCCATTAAAAATGCACATAACAAGCAAATTGCATTTTTGCCATACATTCGCGGGCTGCTGCTGCTGCAACTGCTGCAATGGTCTGGGAATGGCTCTTAAGTAAATTACAATAAATTTGGCGCAAACTTGTATATGAAATGCACAGCGTTCGTGTTACAAAAGCCACTCGCTGTCGGCAATAATATAATTAAAAATTAAATGGCAAATTAATTGGTGAAAAATATCAAAAAGACTTTCTACGCAGCCCGGCATTTGCGGCATTTAAAATGTCATTAATTTTGCATCAACACCTGCAGCATACGCGCTTAAATAAACATTCTCGAAAAGCCAGAGCACTTTACATTAACATGGCATGGCCTGACCAAAAAAACTATTGATGAATGAATAATGAAAGGGTTCTGGGAACAAAGCCGATGCAACCGCAGATCCAACTGCAATTGCAACTGCAGCTGTAGCCGGAGCTGGAATTGGAGCTCGATACTCCGGCAGCTGGTGTTCGACTTGTAAGTGACACGACCCGAACCGAGTCCTGTCTGGCCATAAATCAGAGGTCAACTGCCTCACTTTGTTTTTATAATCACAAGCGTCCGATCACCTGCTCATACTCGTAGGTATGTTTTATATTTGAGGTTTAAATATACATAATAATTGTCTGAATATATCGCAGTATATCATTGAGATGAACACACACAATTTAATTCTGATTTTGAAGCCATTGAGCTATTATTTATTTATAAATAAGTCACACATTTTCGTCTTTTTCACATTTTTTGACATGCATCTCGCATGTGATGCTCGTGTGAGACAATAAACAGACAATTCCGGGTAAGTCCAAAAATATTTTATGCTATTATTTATCGATATGAAGCAGTGGATTTCTGAGAGGTTAAGTATAAAAAAAAAATACAGCTACTAAGTAATTCAATTTAAATAATTAAACAAATTGAAATAACACATTTACAACTGCTCCGCCAGAACTGATTGAATAATACAAAAAATGTTTGGCAATGTGTAAATTTATTTTCATCAAGAGCAAAATTATTTGAAAATCAATCTTTATTGTATTAATTTTGATTATATTTAAAATTTGAATAATCTAAACATGTTAAAGTATTACAAATCGCCCATACCCGGTAGATATATTGAAACAATTTGTTACCAGAAGGGCGCATCAAATATGACTTGAAAATGATGTAAAACAGTATGAGTTGTAAACTGAAACACAGAAATCTGTTTCTAAGAATTCCATTTAAAGTGGCCGTTGAATTTCTGCATTCTAAAGGCGTGTTCTGGGTCTGTGATTTACTTGTAATTAGTTAACATAATTAGGTGGCGACTGACAATTTTAGTGGCCTGCTGTTAAATGTAAAGTAATTATATTCGTGTGTCCTGCCCGTTCTTTCCCCATGCCCCTCTGAGTGGTTTTCATACTCAGATTTAATTCGTAGTTGCTTCTGCAGCCGTGTGTTTTGCGGCGAAAAGTTTCAGGCATGTTAATAACACTCATAATTAAAAATTAAATGTTATAATTTCGTGTGTGCTGCCGTGTGGCTTTTTCCGTTTGGCTGCAAATTATTTCCCAGTTCTGCGGCAACAGACAATTATTCACGCAGCGCTTACAGAATCTGATTTTCTCCGTATTTTCACCAGCCCTGGGGCTGACTCTGACCCTGGCCCAGGCATCGTTTCTTTTTCAGGGGGTTGGGAATTTTCAATGGGAACTTTTACTAGTGCAATTATGAAATATGAAAGCCATGTTTTCCGAGCCAAACACAGCCAAACTTCCAATGAGCCATGTATTTTTGATGGTACAAAAAAAGAGTCTCCCCGTTCTCTCTCTTTTTTCTCTCTGAAGGACGACTACGGCAAGTGCTGGAGAGGCAATAAAAGCTGAAAAGTACAATGCAAGTCTACCCTGTTAAGCATGATACTTAAGAGCACAAATACTCAAAATGCTTGCAATTGTTTTCTCTATGCAGCAGCAAAAGTCAAGGCCTCGTACAACCACTCCATATGCATACACACTAAAGAAAAATAATTAGTTTTTCATGATGTGGTTCAGCTTGAACCGCACTAAGAGAAACACCTCAAATATGCGAAGGTCAAGAAAGCAATTAAGCTGTCCAACTTTGTCGTTGTCGTTGTCGCATTCAATGTGATTCCGATACAAATTCGATTTTGAGACCAAAGTGAAGTCAATCCGATGACGGCCTTAAATTTCATTGCAGGGCACACTCTCGGCTGTGGCTGGCCGATCACTTTGAATAATTATTGGCGCCGCCACTTTCACAGCAGCGGAAAGTCAATCAGTGGGAATGCAGCGAGCAATATAATACAATTGTGGGCCAAGGCGCTTATTCAATTAATTACTTGAAAAAAGCGTAGTGCGTACAAGTAATGCAGAAAAAGCCGAGTAATTATTTTACACTTCGCTACCGCTGTCGCTCAACCGCCTGGATCCACCATTCCTCGTGCTGTCCAGTTGCATTTTGATGAAGTTTTTCAGCGACATGGCTGCACGGTGGCAACTACACTTGCTGTGGCAGTTGCAGTTGGTCACTCCAGCTGTCGCCTGTGCATAATAAAGTTTGCTTAAACTTTGTTAATGCCATGCGACACACACACACACACACACTCGTACGCAGTCGCAGCTTCCAAGGCGAACTTTACAATTATCGACAGACAACTGATTAAATGAAATCAAAGCCAAACCAAAGGAACAAGGAATACATCGCCTCCACATCGAAACGGACAATATAAATTCGCATAAATTCCCTCTGCGCTTTAAATGTCAAGTGGCATTCATCCATCGATTTTTATGCTTGGGTCTCGACCAACGTCGACGCTTGGGTCATTTATCAATATGTAGATTTCCTGCTATCACCGTCGCCCCACTCACAGGGTCGGTCCGGCCCATGTATATTCTTGTATAAATTGCGTAATTTTTTTACACGCACACACAATCGGAGATAAATTGACTGATACGAGCATGCATGTTGTGCGGCACCAGAGGCTGTCTATCTTCCCGCTCTGTTTGATGTATGCGTCTGCCTGGGAAAGTGTCTGTCTCCTGCTCCGACCACCACTCCCCATTTTCACCATTTCGGTATACTTTCACTTTCACTTTTGTGCTCTCGGCCATTTCTTTAAATAATTCGACGCCTCAAGCTACTTCCGGTGGCTGCACTAAAACCCTAGACAAAAGCGTAATGGCATCAATTTCCGGCAGCCCAAATTCAAATTCGACTGCCACAAGGTGTCATGGAAACCGTTCCCCATTCCAATCTTTTCCATTGGCACTTTGAGAACTGAACTGAATTTGAAGTTGTCTCTGGCTGTGGAGAGAGGAAACTTTGAGAAGCCGAAAAAACTTTGTAGAAATAATCTGTACATAAGCATGTGGTACAATGCCAACTAAAGAACCAGCATTGACTATGTATCTCTTTCTTAGCAGTTAAAAGTTACAACAACAAAATCATCTCCCGATAAGGATAGAACTTCTACCATAGGTACGTGATGCCGATGTATCCATGGCCATAAAAAATAAGATGAGATGAGAGCTAGTGAGCAGTATTAGAATTGATGATAAAGATGTGATAGAGCTGAGCTTAGTGAGCAAATACTACAGATTAATTAAAGGTTTAGACAGATCCTGTCGCAAATATTTTCTGTATATTCCGATTGGATCGGAAAAGGGTACTGGCGGGCATTCTCGAATAAATCTTTAAGGCAACAACAACAACAAAAAATGGTAAGCAGTGGAAATCAGTTTTCCCTCTCTGCATCTTTCTCGCTGGTGGCAGGCTGCCTGCCATTTGTAGCCACTCGAAAACGTCAATGACAATGATGATGAACTGCAAAATAGAGCGCTGACAGCTGCAACGAGACACGAACTGGATAGATGGATGCCTGCATATATAGAATACGTGGGGCGCAGCCACAGTCTCAGCCCAGCACATGCAGCGTCCCAGCTGCCTGCTAGCGACTCCCTTTTTCAGTGGCATAATTTTAAATATGGAGCAGAGCTACGGATATACTTTGCTCTGGTTGAACGCTCCACTGGCCCGTCGACGACTGGCTTGGTCGGCTGGACTGGTTGACAGCTTGATTTGTTGGCAGTTGGCATACAATTGACATTTGATGGATGGTGTTCTACATTGTCGGGACATTGCAGCAGCATTCAGCGCACGCCTAGCAGCTGCAGGACAACAGTCCCTAAGAGATCCCTCCGAGTACTTTCGTCTAATTATTGTGGGACAAACTCTCAGTTCCAGTCAATTTGTTGGCAACTGAACCAGTTGGACCATACTAACTCATCGGTTAAATATATTAAAAGAGTCATTAATAACCCATTAACGATTAATTGCACCAGATATCGCACAAACAAAAAAGTATTTAATACATATAAAATTATATATAAGAGAAGTCTCTTTTTAGTGGACCACATTTGATCCGGATCATTCAGCTGTCACGATGTGTTCCAAGTTCTCTGCATTTATCTCGCTTATTCTGCTCGCATTCGGAGTTACCCAAGTAGGTTCCTATTATAGAATCCGCTAACCACACTAACGAAATATTTGCATAGACATACACAAAATTCGAGTTTACCAACGTCAACTGCACTTCTTTGGACAAATCATACGTGACGTTCGAATACTGCTATCTGAAGTCTGTTAATCGGACATACAAATATGGATCGCTAAAAGTAAATCTTCATCAAGGAGCTATTACCGTACTTCATGTAGGTCCAAAATAAAACAAAACAAAAAACCGAAATCTAATTTAACATTCATTTGTACACATACCTTCCCCCATCGTAGCTAAATCTAGCAATATACCAACGTTTAAGCGGATATAAGCCGTTTCTTTACAACGTCACAGTCGACTACTGTAAGTTCATTGCCAACTCAAAGTCCTCTCCAGTGGCTAGATTTATTGTTAACCTCTTCGGTCCGTACTCCAACTTGAACCATACGTGCCCCTATGACGTAAGTGCAAATATAATGTTTCAATCGATCGGATAATATCTATTGTTCGATCTGCCCCCAGCATCCTATTATAATCGACAAGGCTCCCATTTCTCACTTGGACTATCAGTTGACAAAAGTTTTACCATTTCCCAAAGGAAAATATGGCTTCCACAGTATTTGGTCAGTGAATAGGATACCGCGAGCCCATGTAAACGTATATGGTACGCTATCATAGTTGTATATTTATTCGAAAATGTACAAAAATAAAAACAATCCCTATGAGATCCCTCTTGTAGTCCAATTATTGCGGGACAAACTCTCAGTTCCAGCCCATTTGCTACCAACTTAACCAGTTGGACCACACTAATTTGTGTTGTATAATTCATCAGTTAAATATATTAAAAGAGTCATTAATAACCCATTAGCGATTAATTGCTCCAGATATCGCACAAACTGAAAACTACTTAATATATTTAAAACTATATAAGAGAAGTCTCTTTTTAGCGCATCACATTTTTGATCGGTATTATTCAGCTGCACTTCTAACTGAAGTCTAAGAATAGAACATACAACTATGGATCGTTCAAATTTAATTTTCTTCAAGGGCCATATAATAACCCAGAAGAGTCGTATATGCCTCGACTAAAAGTTACCTTCATTATCTGATTCTTTATAAAGCTACTTCCTTCTATGCCAAGCGTAAAATGTTGAGCAAAACTTTTGTGTGTTCGAAAGTTTCTTTGCTTGAATAAGGAATGAGACAAAAGTCTGCGCAACTGACGAGTGCCAACGGTCCCAAGAAAAATTCTACTTTAAAGTCGGGAGGTGGCATGGCAATGTGAGACTCCTCTGGAAATGTACAGTATAAATAAAACAAACGGCAGTTTTTCCACTATTTCCTCGTTGATGCCGGCCATATTTTACGTGCCCACGACTGCACCTGACTCTGACTCGCTGAGAGGAGCAACAACTTTTGGGCGTTATGAAAAAAAACTCTTGAAGATTTCTAAGCAAAGTGAAACTTTTATATCTGTGCATATATTATTTGAACAGCTCACACACACAGTCAGACCCCAAACAGGCTCCGTTCGCATTTGTTAAGATTAATTAACAAATCCGGAAAAAGAAGACAAGCCTGCCAGTCATGGCAATTCGAATCCACACTCGTTCCCCGAGCCCCAGTCAGAGGCAGCCTAATGGCTAGAAAAGTGAGCGCATTTGCATAACAGTCGGCAAGAAATTCGAAACAAGTAACGAGCCAGTGAATCATGAAACAAAAAATTAACAAACAGCAAACACGAATCCAAGAATGGGAGCTGTAGAAGTACGTAGAAGTAGAAGTGCTTGAGTACGAAGAAAGGAGTCTAAGGGGCAATCTAAGCGAAATAGATTATTGTACACTCTTTCTCTCTGGCATGACTCTGACTTTATCTGACTTTAAGTTTTGTAAATATTAAACAAATACAATGTAGATTTAATATATAAATATCAAATTGAATCGCTATAGAAATATTGACATTATTGACAGACAGGTCATATTCATATAGAAAATTCTTGAGACACATCCAAATGCCTGTAAAATTTGCAGTATCCTTAGAAAACGGCAATTACTTTTCTTTGCTGCTGGGATTAGAGGTGGATGGTGTCAGGCTCAGCCCGAGATAAGCCTCTTGCATTGGTAATTATTTATGCAAAAATTGTTGCAAAACAAACTTAATTTAGTTAAATGTTTAACTTAGGCATGCGCACGTTGATTAACAGTCCGGAACGAGCTCATGTCCCATCGAGTGTTTAGAGTTCCCCTCCGCCTCCGGGATATGCAAATAACAATGGGCCGGAGCGGAATGTCTGCTCCCCCGCCACACAATCCATTTACTTTGTTTTCTCTGGGTGTTTGAGTTTGTTGCTCCGACTTACTTGCGTGTAAACATGCATGATTAAGCTGCCAGAATTCCTGTACGGCAGGCAGCAACATTTTACACTTCTTGGGCAGCTCTTGACGTGTTCTGAATAATAGGCTGCCAACTCTTTGCACCGCCAATCCATGCCGCAGGTATGCGATTTTTGGGGGAGTTTTGCCAAAGGCGCATTATGTCCCCGTTTGGCTCGAAAGTGAATTATCATTTTTCCACAGGCCTATTTTATTTCTACTCACAAAGTGCAAGTATTTTGCAATAGTTGTCACGTCACAGCTTATCGAGTTGTACCATGGCAGCTTGGCGAGCTCAGCGAATTTAAAGTCGGAATTCGCGCCAGTCAGGTGCAAGAAGATATCGATCAGGAATATGCAGAGCAAGTGTCGGGGAATGCGGCCGTGCCGATGATGACGATAATGCTGCTGCCAAGTCAAAGTCGGGCACAATGGATGCCAGCGCTGCATCTGAGGCAGATCCAGACGGAGTCGTAGAAAAAGACGACGTAGAATAAACAGACGGGTAGGAAAAGAAGAGGTCCTGCAATATGCTTGCACTCAGCGCATTGCATTGCAAAGTGAACTTCACTTACATGAAGTAAATAAATAAAAAGGCAGCCCGAACAGAGCTGCACACAGTTTATGGATGCACTTGCCAGGAAGGACAAGGACTGCGACGAGGATAGCAACAGCAACAGGAACTGGATCTGGAACAGGAACACGAACACGAACAGCAACGGGATTGGGAATGGGAGGAGAAAGCGTAGACGAATGTAAAATAAAACGTGACAATAATGCTGCCAATGGCTGTGTTGATTAGGCTGGTTTATTTATGGCTCGAACCGTTGCAGCCGGGCAAAGAAGTCTGCCACACAGCAGCTCGAACTGAGGGTATCTTGTGGCAGGCGAATGAGGCTGCTATCTTTGGGAAATTCATTGAGCTGCCGCAAGCTGGAGTTGATCTGCAGCTTTTGTGGTACAACTTGCTCTTCGGGCCTAATGAACCAAGCCAGACTCCATGTGTGTGTGTGTGTGGACCAAAGTAAATATTATTTGATGCTGTGTTGAAAGCCATTTCCAGGTGGTTTGGGCCTCATCCCCCACCTCCCACCTCCCGTCTCCATGTGTTTATGCATAAAATATTTACAAAGTTTCCCGTTCGTGTATGCGTGTCTGTGTGGCTTTCCCCGAGTCCAATTTGCCCAAATGTAGAAGTCATATTGAGGCAAGCTTGTGCTGCATTTTTCTTTTTTCACTCTTATTATTCCAAGTTTATTTAGGCGAAGCGGTAGGACAGGCTTGGTTGGCCGGGGTGGGGGGGTACCACATCAAAGCATAGCACGTGGCACGCATGAGTGGCAATGGCAAAAAGTACAGCACGAGCAACAAAAGCAAGCCCAAGCACCGCAGCAACAGCAAAAACAGCAAACAACGGGCCGAAGCAGTCCCAATTGCATTGCCCCCGAGTTGACCACAAAACATGCGCCAGGCTACCCAAGCCAGGCCAAAAAAAGGAGAACAGCAACAATAGGTTAGAGTATGCGATTAACAATATACCCTCTAAATATCCTTTGCATCCTATTTTTGGATCATAAAGAAGCAGACAAATTAATTTAATAATTTAAAAATAGATTTGCATTTATACTATTTTTTGTAAGCGTTTAAGAAAACATAACATACCCTCGTGAAATAATTAAGGGGTAAAGGGAAAAGTAAAGGAAAACCCAAAAACGAAGCAACAACAAGCAAGGCAGTAAATCAACTGCTGACCAGTATACGGGTGGGTATACCGTATACGGCTCGGCTCGTACGGCTGCAGTTACGTATGTGAATTTGTAATCTAAACTTTTATACTCGTTGACTCGTTGGCTCGCTTTTTTCATCAAACGGAACGGGGAGCGAACAGGAAACGGAAATTGCTGCTGTTGGCCCGTTGACAAAAACACGACACTTGCACCTCAAGTTGCCAGGAAGTTTCAACTTGATTTCCAGCAACTGCAGCAGCAGCAGCAGCAGTAACAACGAAGGCAATGGCATTATAGGGTTTGCAATTGCTTACAGTTTTGTTGTCGCCCATTGAATGTGTCCATGATTGCGATTGCAGGTGCCTCTCTGTGTCCGTGTAGGCGATCTGATGTGTCCCTTTCCTGGCTGCTGCTTCTGCTGCTGCTGTTGTTGTTTGTCCATTGGGCCATTGATTAAGCGTGGCCGAGTCGGTGAGTGGCTGGCTCGTCCTGCCAACCTCCCATCCTCTTTTGGTCACGTTGGCTTGCCGCTTCACTCAATCAAAGCAAACTGAAAAGTTTGCGTTACGGGTTTACCCTCAGTTTGCATTCTTTATGAGCGGCCCCTGCGTTTCGCTTTTTGTTGCACACTCGTACTTGCTGCTGCTGCTGCTGCGACTGCGAGACCACTTTTCCATTTCCCCCTGAATGCTTAATGCAAATTGATTTACCCGCTTCTGTTTCCCGCTTTCCCCTTCCCCTTTCTCAATGCCATTTGCAACTTTTGCTTAAGCAAATTTGCAACAGCTTTAAGTTGCAATTAAGCCCGCCCAAAAGATAGCTGAGCTGGGGGCCTGGCCTGGCCTGTGCTGGGCTGGGCAACTTGTTAACTGATTTTATGGCAGCGCGGCGGTACCGCAGGCAGATGTGCCACGCCCTCAATGCCGTTGCCAGTTGGCTGCACACTTCGCTGGCACACGAAAATTTTTAACTTAAATTACTTTTCGTAATAACTTTATTTTGTAATTTACGTAAGTAGAAGTAACATTTATGCAGCTGCATAAACCGCCAGCCAAAGTAGCTGACAAACTATGACGGCGCACGTAAAAAACTTCGCTCCACTCCGCTCCGCACGGCTCCGAGCTCCAAGCTACAAGCTCCAACCTCCAGCCAGAAACCTTTGCAAATTTGCTAAAAAATTTCCCAGCAAGAGGCAAAGAGGGATAGAGAGAGCCGCACAGTTGGCCTTGGTCCACAGAGTTGATGCCACTCAGCTAGATAATTTGCATATGGAAAATGGGAATGGAGGTGCCCGCTCATCTCATCTCATCACATCGCCCTGCATTGCTCTTTGATGATTTTTGCCGCGATCTGTGGAAATCTATAAGCGACTGCGACTTCAACCCATCAACCATGTTCGGGGGCCATGGGCCATATACCTCCCCCAAGTGTAATTGCAACTTAGATAAGTTTCCTGCCGCTGTCACTGCTTCTGCCACTGCCTCTGCCACTGCCAATGGCATTTTAAATTTTTAATAAAGCACTTGCCCGAAAGAAAATGAGAAAATGAGAAAATGCTCGACGGAGCCTTGGTGTTAT